AAACAAAATTACTGGTTAGTTTTTTAAAATTTTAATTTTTTAAGGAGTTAATAGATTTTAAAGATCATCTATTATATTGGAGAGTTAAGACATCCTGCACCATATTAAATACCAATCTTAAACAAACAAATATTTTAAATTAAATATTTAAATAAAGCATACGAAATAAAAATTTAAAAAAATGGATGTATATCGGTTCAACAAATACCGTTTCAAGCTAAGAGGGTAGCACAGAAAAGTTGGAAGTTTGCAGAAGATTTGTAAAAATCATACGGTACAAGAAGTTAATTCGTATTTAACTAAAATGAATCAATCCCAATTAAATACAACTCAACATATAATAAAAAAAATATGTTAAATCAATTTTTCAAATTGAGGATTATCACAAACAGAAGTTTTTGCAGCAGCAGCTCATTTGTTTAAGACAATGCATTATTCAAAAGGTTCCAACATGGTAGCAGAACTTAAAGAATCAAAATTAAGATTATCATCATGGTCGATTGATAAAAATAACATCAATTCTAATTTAAAAGAAATTTGAAAAAAAGTAAATGGCAAAGAAAAACAACCAATTAGTGAGCAGACTAGTGCAGAACAGGTTTCTTTACAATTTTTTTCAAAATAATTTTATGTAAATAAGCATAATAAAATATTGATATAAGAAAATTGAACATTATAAATTGATCATCATAAAATGTTATGCCAAAAAAAAGTGAAATGAAAAAAAGCGAAAAAAATAAAATAAAATAAATTTAAGAAAATAAAAAGCGAATAAAAATAAATTATTATATGCTCTCTTAACATTAATTAATAGGTAAATTTTCATACATTAAATGAAATAATTAAAATAAAACAAATTTAAGAAATAAAAAGCGAATGCTATATAAACGCAGAATAACGCCCACCTGCGCGTTAATTAATTGACCTGCTCGTTATATCGAGTACGCCCATATGCGATATTTCGAAATAAGAGATGATTTTCAAATTATCATACAAATAATAATAATTTCTTATTTATGACAAGATTTAAAAGTGCTCCAAAACTTGGTTTAATACTAAATAAACCTGTGTCTTGACCTAAGAACAACTTTTAAAGCCCGAAAATAAATTTAATTAATAAATACTGGAGCATTTTTTGTTTTTTATTTTTTACATAAAGAATAAGGAGGATACGCGTTAATTTGAGACGCCCATGGGCACTAATTCAGGACTACATATATTATTTTTGAAGGACTCGATTTTCAAAATAATGTCCACAGGTGTTATTTCATGTTTATACAGTAAAAATAAATTATTATATGCTCTTTTAAGGGTAGATAAACGTAGATTGTTTTTCATATAATCTATGTGGTATATTGGATTTTTACATAGTAAATAAAAAAATACTTCTGATAAAACTTTTTAACATCTTAATTAATTTGTATCAAATTTATATGATATATAGTTTAAAACAGTTTGTTTATGATATTAAAGTTGCACAATATGCATTGCTTTAAAAAATTTTAACTTCACATATAACCAAAGTTTACTCAGGTCGCTATATGTTTTTCCTAGATGGTACAAAGAATTGCTAATTTTGATTGGTTGAATCATATGATGTTTACATGATATCATATGATATTGGTTACAATATTGATCTACAATCTATTTTATATGAATTCAGAAATGTTGATGCCTACTCTTAATATTAATTGATAGATAAATTTTCATACATTAAATGAAAAATAATTAAAATAAAATAATTTTAAGAAATAAAAAGCAAATAAAACTAATTAGATGCTCGACTAATGCTAATTGCTAGCTAAATTTTCATGCATTAAATGAATATATTCAAATATTAATATATAAATTAACTATGTAATTAAAGGTTTTGCATTTCTCACATAGAACACATTCGCATTTTCTTGAGCATAATGAATTTCTTTTTCTGCAAGAACATGATTTGGTGCCACAATTTGTTTTTCGGCAATGACAGGTTTCTTGTTGGGTGTCTTGAACTATTATTATTCATAACAAAAATTATATAATTAATATTAATAATAATAATATTATTATTATTATTATTATATTTTTTTTATTACTTACTCAAGGAATGTATTTGGCAGGTATTCACTAATATTATGAGCTTGGCTATTTTGAAAATTATAGGTTGGATGTTAGTGATTATTATTAGTTGATCTTCTATTGTTAAAGGTAAGACGTGTAATGTTTGCCTAGCACCTGCCTCTCTTAATAAAAGTATGCTATTTAATGATATAACGTTAAGATCAGGATAATCAGGGTACCCAGTGATTCAAGTTAATTTGATGAGTACCAATTGTCAAGGGCCCCAAATTTGCAGACAACTTGGCAAGAATCATAGTTAAATATCCTTTAAAGGACCTTGCATGGTAGATATCTTCGATCTATCTTTAATTTATCAATGGTGATCAATGGCAGAAATGCGAATTTTTACTAAATCACCAGGTTCGTATGTTCAATTTCATTTGGTTTAATGCTTTGCTTCTATTTTGATTTGAATAAATTCACGGTTTCTTTTAACATTTAAAAGAGATGATAGTATTGAACTAATACAATTAAATTTTGTTTAATATAAACTTATTTATTAAAGTTAATATAATACACATACTTGAACATGTTTTAGAAAATCTTCAGAAACAATAAGTGCATTGGTGGAACTTTTTAGAAATATGTCAAGTAATACACACTTTGTATTTATTAATCATATTCTTAATTAACTGCTAGAGTATAGCAATAACTAATCTAAATTTAATAAGAAGGTTGCTATTGTTGTTATTTTTAAAAAAACAAACATAAATTTAACTTTTTTTAGCTTTTTCATAGCTACTGTGCTCAGCTGCTTGATAGCAGCAAAAATTATTTTGAAAAATTTTTTATATAACAAACTTGTGCCCTCAACTTATTCTTATCTTGTTTAAGCAGATGCAGTTTCTCTGTTGCACTAATACGATAAACTTTAAAAATATTAACCACCCAAAATTTGAACTTTGTATTACACTGAGGTTTGGATTTTTAGTACATTTAAATATTCATTATAATGACTTATATCCATCAAGTTTTTCTTTTTTTAATAAATGTCTCTAATGTTCAGTTAAAAGTTTCATGAGTCATAAAGTTATATTCTTACAAATCCATAATGGTTGAAGAAATTATATAATAAAAGCAGTAAAAGTCAATTTGAATATAATAACAATAAAAGAATTGTTTTTATAAATATTAATGTAAAAATTATTAATAATTATTATTATCGTCATTAATAAATCAGGTTTACTAAAATGCACCATAGGTATTGAATGCCATAGTTGCTATATCTCAAAAATGTACTAGCTAACACACCTCTGAGGTATTAAGTAAAAATATTTAGAGCCTCCATAAACCTTATGCTAACTAAAATTTGAACCTTTATATAACCCTTATCTTACTCTAAAGTTGCACCCTAACCCTAAATTTTAGCCAAAAACATATTAACACCAACAACACCTATGGTGCGTTTTATAATTTCTGTGATAAATTGTGAAATTATTATTAGTTTATTACACTGACTCCTATAATTATTGTTTCACCGTATTTAAAATTTTTAGAGTGTGATATTTCGCATTCTGTAAAACAAATAACTAATAAACTTCAATGGTGTAAAGCTCTCAACTTCCTTTTTTAAAATTTATAATTTCGCAAAAAAATATTTATTATTTTTTTAAAAAAATTTAAATTTCTACAAACTTTGTGGAACAACAATTTTGGTGCAAAGCCAAAAAAATTAATTACATGAATTTTTTTTAATTTATTTTAAGTAAATTAAAAATTTTTTTTTTCTAAAATTTACCATTTGGTATACCCCTTTAGCTTTGAGCACATCTTTAATTCGTTGAGGTATCATGTCGATTAGCTTTAAAATGTAATCGTCATCGATCTCATTCCACACCTTTTGAATCTTATTTCATAGGTTTGTTTCACTAGAAATATTATCAGGAAGTTGTCACAAATGATGATTAACTTCATCCCATAAATACTCTATAGGATTTAGATTGGGGGAGTATAGCGGCCAATCCAAAACTTCAATTCCTTTTTCATCCAACCAGTCGGTAACTATATCCACCATATGTTCGCGGTTGTTATCATGTTGGAAAATAAAATCATCATTTGTTAAATACCATGCCCGCAATGTTTCAATTAACTCATCTTTTAGAATTTCATAATATAACTCCTTATTTATGTTTCCCTCAATCCTACAATAGTTTCCAACACCGTACATACCTATATAGCCTATACCATTACAGACCCCAACATATTTCACCGTCAGCTTTACGTGTTGCAGTAACAATGGTGAATTTGGGTCTTTCCAACACCATTCTCTTCCATTCGAACCAAAAATCTTGAACTTTGATTCATGCGAAAAAATCACCTTTCACCAATCTTCGACGATTCAACAGCAATATTTTTTTGCAAATTCTCTTCGCAATTTTTTGGTCTGTGGTAGAAGTAGAGGCTTTTTTTCTTTACCCAAGATTCGAAACCTTATTTCCATAGTGCGCAGCGGATTGTATTCGTGGAAACATAAACACCTTCATCAGATGTTAATTTTTTTTGGGCTTGGACGGCAGTCTGGCATGTACCTGACCTAAATTCCCTGGCTATTCT